GTTCTTGAAGCCTGACATACAGTTTGGACAAAACCTTTGCAACTGAAATAGACTATATGGAAACGTTTTAGGTTCAACTGAAACTGTAATTGCGATTTTTCCCAGAAATGTTTGGTATTTTGCTCTAAAATTATTGATAAAATAGATTACTCGTTACTAGCTGGGACAAAACATATGCAACTCTCACGAATTTAAAAATACCCTTATTATAGGTATCAAAGTTTAAAATTTTAGTTAAGAGGTAGTTTTAATCATTATTTAATAAAAAATGTAATATACGCCCACAAACAATCAAATATAAGTGATAAGCGATGCATTCGAGTCGGGGTTACTAAAACGCATTGTGGGCAATTAGACAAACCCATTGTTGGCAGTCATACGATTGGAATACGACTAAGAGAGATATCTGAGGAATATAATAACTCCAGAAGTTCAATATCACATATAGTGGAGAAGTATAAAGCCACTAACCCAGTTTCGTTCACCCATGTAGGAGGAAGTCCAAAGAACAAAAGCCGTCGTACTGATACCTATAATAACGGTATTTTTAAATTCGTCAGAGTTGCATATGTTTTGTCCCAGCTTATAACGAGTAATCTATTTTATCAATAAATTTTAGATCAAATAATCAGTTGAACCTAAAACGTTGAAAAATACCAAATTAACCAATTTTCCAACATCAAATAAAGTGCTTACTACATATTTCCATATAGCCAATTTCAGTTGCAAATGTTTGTCCAATACTGTACATATGTATAGAAAATTATAAATATTTGTATGTAGAAATTATTCAGTTTAAGTAGTTCAAATTCAATTTATTATTATACGTCTTTATATATATACATTGTAGCGGAACATTAGTTTTAAGTATAATTTGTATTTGAATATGTTCATTGTAACGCATATTTTAACGTAACGTAACTATTATCAGATGTTATCATGTTTGCGATACCTAAATGAATAACTACATAATGATGTCAACGAACCGACAATTCTTCGTTGTGTTGTGCTTTCATCATATTCGTTCAGTTGTGTGTTGGAAAAGCTCTCTGTTGAGAGTATAAAAGAAGCAACATCAGCGAGAATTGTTCATTCTTGGTTTGCAGGTTCGTTTGGAAGGTTGTCTGGCTAGCACAGCACAACATCAAAGAAGATGTGGTCGCTGTACGCGATCGTCTTCTTGTTGTTGTGATGTGTGGCTTTTGAAAACAAGAGTAGTCAAGCATAATAGATTTGTGGACGCTGTTCGCGCCGGCTTCTATGTGCTGGGCTGTTGTTGTTGTTATTATTAATAATAAAACGATGGAATGTGTATACGTGGCGACGATGGTTGCCGTTACACACTCATCATTGTTTGTGAAAAATAATTACCAATTAATCTACATATTTTGTTTGTATAATTTCATTCTTGGTTTGCAGTTTCCAGAATTGTACATTCTTGGTTTTCCAGAATCATTACTGAATAAAGAGCAACTTTGTAACATTTTAAAGTAATTAAGGTGTTATCATTTCGGAAGGAAAATAGACTCCCTTAATTTGGCGCCCAACAACCACAATACTACGGCTATAAAGTGACCCCAATTGCGTAGCCGTAACCAAATTGTTATTAACTGACGCCCAACTGAGTGGCCCGAATAACGACATGGTGTATTTTTGGCAGTTTTTGGAAGTTCTCGGAATTTATGTACCGACTCTAGTGGCCAATCCGTGGCCCTATTAGTTTGGAAATAACCAGAACAACTGTTTTGAATGCTGATTTGTTGTTTTCTGTCTTTGGCGAAAACGTGGCTGAAGGTATTAAGGACGAGTTACTGCGTCGAAGTCAACGTATTGCTGCAAAAACAAATATGGTGTCTCTTACGACATAACAATTTATGGAACTGCTAGTTAATAAGCAAAGTGAGAAATGTGGCTCTTTCAGTGGCTGCAGCTCGAGGTACAATGGAGAGCGGAATCCGGTAAAAGTGGGGGAATTCATCTCTAGCATTTCAACGTACAAATGGCATGCCGATGTTGCTGGAAGGTGATGCTGCGGAATGGTGGCGTGGAGTCAAGTCGAAGGCCACAACTTTTGCCGATGTTGTAAAGATGATTCGTGACGCTTTCTCACCCCCTAAGCCAGCTTGGCGCATTTCTGCTGAAATAAATGAAACCAAACAACAGAGAACTGAGCCTACAGACACTTTTATTCGTAAGAAGAGAACCCTTTTTGCCCAGTTGGATTCAATACCGAACGAGGCTGATCAAATTGATATGGTGTTTGGAATGTTGCACGCTCAGATCAGAGAGAGAGAGAGAGTTTTCCGGCATAAAATTAAAAGTTTTGATGAGTTACTAGCTGATGCAAGAGAAGCAGAACAGTAAAATTAAAAGTTACACATAAAATCGTTTGCAGTAACGAAAATGTTATTCTGTAAAAATGTAGACAAATTGAAAAACTTTCAAAAAGCTTTTATTTTTGAACATTTTGACAACAAATTCAGAATGTTCAATATTGAAAAATATTTGTCATAAGTTAACTAGTATTTTGATGTTGTTTATTAACAACATTTTTAACAATTATTGTTAAACGCTGTTATAGAATTGAAATATTGTTTATTTTATCGTTATAATATTTCATCGATTTGAGAATTGTTAAAATTTGATAGTGAATCGACCCACAGGTAATACGTGAACGCGAGGTGAACTCTGGCTCTAAAGAAAGTGGTCGCCAAGGTGGTACGAAGCTTTGTTTACATTGTCGCAAAAAGGGGCACACGAAGGAAAACTGTTTCAAGAAACAAGATGAGATAGCAAAAGCTGAGGCAGAGGCAGCATTGGTCAAACCAAAGCTCGCTTGTTATGGATGCAATGTTCCTGGTTATGTTCGCTCTAATTGCCCTAATTCCAGCAAGAAATCGAATACTAAATCGCCAATGACGCACAGTGGGTTAGAATAGCTTGTTTTCTTGGATTATTTAAAAAATAAAATTTTAAGTATCGTTAAAATTGTTTGCACCCGGTTACAGTATATAAAATTCTACATCACTTGTCGTTAAAATAAATGTCAAAAGTGGTGTGGTGTTTTTGTAGTGAAACTTCAAAGTCAAACTTCATAGAAAATTTTGTACCAAAAACGGCTTCATTGTTTAATACAAGTGTTGCAGCAGTCAAATTAGCTAAAAGTCACATTGATCTCGCGACTGGTGCTGTTGTTGTGTGCTGTGTTTTCTTGTTTCTCATGTTATTTTTTCTAAATATTTGTGCTCTTCTTTTCCGTATATTATTGTTGTTATTTTTGTTTCTTTTAATAATATTCTTTGTTACAATAATATTTTTTTTGTTTATTTTAATAATATTCTTTGTTTGAGTTGTGCAGTTTCAAGTAATCGGGTAAAAGGGGTTTTTTATTAGCATTTTTTTATAAATACAAGTTCGAACGTTGTTTTTTATAATCGTCGAAGCTTATGATGAATCCATGCGCTGAACAATGTATGACAAGATGACATTTTTAGCTAAAGAAATAAAAAAAACGTACAAAAAGGCAAAAAAAGTGCCGAAATAACAAAAATAGATGTTAATTAAATAAAAATGCACGTGATGGTTATTGCTGTATCCAGTGGCCATGAGATTAATAATGAAACATTTCAAATATATGCACACAATACATGTATAATATGCCTACCACTTTGCACAAGTTTTTTATTCACGGACCCGAAATTGTGTCATATGCCCTTTTACATATTGAGCAGTTATCATAAGTTGGTGATTAAAGATGGCCTTGACTACCCCACCTATTTTAAAACAAGCGATAGACAATATGCCATTTGCTATTCATACAGATGCTAGTGCATATGCTTTGGGGGCAGTTTTGCTCCAGGGGGAGAGTCAAGAGGAACACCCGATAGAATATGGTAGCCGACTATTAAATAGTGCTGAGCGTAATTACTCTACCACTGAAAGGGAGGCCTTAGCCATAGTTTGGGCTTGTAATAAATTTCGAGGAAACATTGAAGGCGGAGAAGTAAGGCTCCTGACGGATCACCAACCATTGAAATTGCTTTTAAGCATTAAATCGCCAACGGGACGACTTACGAGATGGGGACTACAGATTCAACAATACAAATTTTTCCATTGAATATCTCCCAGGGAAAATAAATGCTCTTGCTGACATGTTGTCCAGACCACCATGTACAGAAGATGATCATAAAGAAAATTGTATTTGTGCTTTCATTGTGAATATCCCAAATAAAAGTGCGACACAGATTAAAGAAGAACAAATGAAAGATGCGTACCTAAAGGATATTATAACATCTCTGGAGAATCACGATGAAAATTCCCTAAAGTGGATGAACAGATGTTATATTCTTAATGATGGAATACTTTATTGCTATGGGAACGATGATTGTGATGATGCCCAATTGGTTATACCCGAACATGAACGGTCGGAAATTTTGAAAAATGATCACGATGACAGCACTGCAGGTCATTATGGAACAGAGAGAACGATTGCTCGTATTGCTAGTAGATATTTTTGGCCTGGGATGAGAAGCGTAACCAAATTGTTATAACATTTTTTTAAAATTGTGATACAATTTAATTAGACCAAAATACAATTCATATTTATATATAATAATTTTCTTTTGGTGTGGTTTAACATCAATTTCATTTCTACTGGTGTAGTCAAAATGTATTTAATTGGTAAAATATTTTTTTGTAGTCCAATATCCCTCCCTTTTACATTTAAGGCGCTTTATAATGATGAATTTTGTATTTAATTGTGAAATGTAGTTTACAGTCTTAAGGTCGAATGACTGGGTAATATGAAATATAAATAAATTATGTACAACATACGCGCGTAGGGAATTGCGATGTGTTCGCTAAGTGTGACCTACAAAGAGGCTTCTATATATTGGTAGTTTTAAGTTTTCTTCTCTATTGTGTGCGTTTTCTGTGTCTACCATTATTCTTATATATATTCTTTAATTTATAGCATTATACTTTTCTTTGTATTTTTATAGCGTGCTGCTGAAGCTCGATGGGATGAAGCGAGTAACGTTACAATTAAAGTTTCAACAAAACCGTGTCCTAAATGCCGAACTCCAACAGAAAGGGACGGCGGATGCATGCATATGGTTTGTACCCGCTCTGGATGTGGATTTGAATGGTGTTGGGTATGTCAAACGGAGTGGACAAGAGATTGTATGGGAGCCCACTGGTTTGGTTAATATGTCAATCAATTTATATTTTAAGAATAAAAAATATGTTTAAAAATTATACTGGTATTGATGAATAAATTTAAATATATATATATATATATATATACTAAGAAAATATAACCAGCTTTATTTTGAATATTTGATAGAGAGAAATCTCAATTTTATCCTATTCACATAATCGACTTATTCTAACTTTACAAGGGCAATCGACAAAGACATAAAAGTATAAATATACGACAATTGATACGTAAACAATTTCCAACAAATGACTTTTCATCTGTTGTTATATCAGCATCGAAGCGATTAAAAGCAAAAAAATAATTTTTATTAAAATTTAAAATTTTTCTACATTTTCGGTTATTGTATCCACAATTAGGTGGACTGGGATACCCATTAAATACATCTGTGGAAGATTTTCCTGTGTTACAAAGTGGTAATGAATATAAACGAAAGCGTCTGGAAGGTATGACAAATACCACAAATATTGATTTAGCTGATCTTGCTGGACTCGACGTACAAAATGTTCAACATAAAGCCAGTCCCGACAAACGAAGAGTAGTGCACCCAATTCGACTGCAACAACAGCATCGGCAAAGAACCCATGGTGCCCCCCAATAATACTGTATGACATCAGTGTACAACATCTAATAGAGCAACTTGTAGCTAAAATCAAAATTAAAAATATCAGCAGGTGAAAAAGAAAATTATATTTTTCTGATACCGTGGTTCACAGGGAGATGATAAACATTTAGCGAGATAAATCAGTTTCAGCACACACCTTTACACCAAAGGAATTAAAACAAGTATCATTGGTTCTGAGGGGTCTGTACCATATCACTGACATAAACCGGGTGAAAGTAGCTCTAGACAATGCTGCACCAGATGCAGTAGCGAAGGTGAATAAATATACTACTACATTTTCGATTAAAAACAATTACGACACTGGCCTCATATTGGTCTCTCTGCTTCCGGGCCAAACACTAAAAGATGTGTCACACATTCATGAACTGCTGAATTAGACAGTGTGGTGGGAAAAACCACACAAAAAGGAAAGAGAGATCCTGCCAGCGTTGGGACCTTTTATCCAAAAATTGTGCGTCCGAATTAAAATGTGTGAAATGTGACAAGAAACATTCTCCTGGTGAATGCCTTCGCACTAAAATTGAATCTTTTCAACTACATTGCGTTAATTGCAATGAAGCCGGACACCCAGCTAACTGGAAAGGTTGTCCAGCATTAAAGAAGTACTTGATAAATAGGAGAGAACATATCCAAAAAGCTCAGGAAAACAAAGAAGCAGCAGCGGCCAATGTAAAACGTGCCATAACATCCTCATTCAGATCTCCAAATAAAACATTTGCGTGCCTTTTAAGCCGCAAACCTCTCTGGATATTGTGAATGAACTCCTAACATTTGCAAATTATTTCCTTGAGGAAATGACACTCGAGCAAGAAATAAATGTTTCTTGCGGAATTTCAAAATATGTTAAAAAAATGACGCAAAGGTAGAGTTTTGTTTGCTCAAAAAAATAAAAGAAACTTATGGGTAATAGATTCAAGAGTGTCATCTTGGCAACCGAAAAGTTTATATAGATGGCTACAATTTTATATAAGATCACTCCTCAGTCGGAGTAGCAACTATAATTAAAAAATCTCTTCAATACAAACGCATTAATATAGATAGAGATAAAATTTAACTCTATTTTTGTTAAAATTGAGACAAATTTTGGCAATACAACAAAAAATTTAATTATTGGCTCAGTTTACATTCCCTCAAATATCTCTACACAATTGTTTTTGGGAAGCTTAGATAATCTCCTACAAGAGGCCCAAGTTTGGGATGGATTTATCTTAGGCGAATATCTTAACTCAAAAAATGGGGAGATACTTTGGATAATAATAATGGAAAGATTCTTCATAATTGGCTCCATGACAATTCTATGGATGAAGTCCGATTATGTGACTCCAATCCGCAGTTTCCAAGATCATCGTCCTTTTTGGACCACTTCCTGTTGAGCGAAAACATTATATATAAAGTATCACCTAATTTCACTTTATCCACCTTGCCAACTTTTTTTGGACCACTTTCAATTGCAACTTGAACTTCAACTTGATAACTATAATATGATATTGATGGCTCCATATATGTTTACATACAAAAACACGAATTGGAATCTTTTTCGTCGTGACATGGAAGCAGCCACGCTTAATAACATGCCTTCTACAGACAGGAACCTTTCAAACAATGAGTATTGAAGAATTTAACGCAACTTTTGTGACGGTTCATGAATACCATTCTAAAACCATTTGCCAAAAAGTCCGACATAATGACACAATTATAAATGATACGTCTGCAATTTCCGAAATCGTCCACAACTACTACTCCAATGTTTTCCGTCATTCAATACCAGAGCAATCTTTATCTGACCTAGACTCTAAAGTCTCATCTTGCAACTTCAATTCTTCAAATAATCGCGACACATATCATTTCATTGGAGCAGAACAAATAAAAAAGATTATAAACAACATTAGTAACAAAAAATCAAGTGGTTTTGATAATTTCTCAGATTTTATTATAAGAAGACTATCAGAGATAACAGTTAAATATTTTATAACTATCTTCAATAACTGTCCTAACAACTGCTATTTTCCAAAACCGTGGAAGTCAGCGAAAATTATTCCCATTAAAAAAAGCCAAGCAGAATTACGCCTAGGCGACTTTCGGCCAATATCGCTACTTTCGAACATCGGAAAAGTGTTTGAACATGTACTTAAGGAGAAATATAGTTCGGCAACTCTGCTCGTATAGAAGTGTTTTGTGCGTGTCTTTTAAATCAAATTAATAATTATTCATTTAAACGTGTCTGTAGTGGCGTATTAAGTGTTTATTAGTGTTTTTTCAACAAAATTTAATATTCTTAATTTCAAAATTGTGAAGTTTTTTCTAAAAAGTGTTTTTAAGTGTTCATTTGTTTTTCCAAATTTTTCCAAAAATTGTATTTGGTTTGTATTTTGGCATTTATTTCTCCTTCTTGTTTATTTTATTCCTTCGTTGTTTTTGTTAGTTTTGACATTTTGTTTTATATTCCCCACTTGATTGTCAGTACTAAATTTGCTTTCCTTAGCATAATTTCAGGCGGTTACGTTAATTCATTTGCTATCATTTTACATATCAAATAACTTCTCGTTTTTAAAGCATACTTTCAGGCGGTTATAAAATTTTATTAATCATTCATAATGGCTTGCTCTTTTAAAGACTGCAATATTAAAAACGTTAACGAACGACTTATTGCGTGTTATATTTGTGATAATTACATGCATCTTAAATGTGCCGAGTTTAATGGTAGGCAGTTTGATTTTATTACAGATAAGTCTAAAGGTCTCCGTTGGTCTTGTTTAGAATGTAGGGATCTAGAGGTAAATTTTCATCGTCTTTTTAAGGAAACTAGGTCTGAAATTTTAAATTTTAAAAAAAATTTCAATTCGGTTTATCAAAATTTTGAAAAAATCGAAAACATGGTCAATAAGTTTGAACTTCCCGATTGCTCCCCTAAAAGGAAAAAATCAGTTAATATTGCTAGTGGTCCCAGTTCATCAAATCTAGGTCCAGATAACTTAATTAGTCTGTACTCGCCTATAGTGGTAAATTGCCCCTCCAATATGGAAAGTGTAATTCCTGAAGGTAATCAATTGCCTGCTCCGGTTTCTAATTTAAATTTAGCTACTGAACTTAATTCTGAATAAACTTCAGCATCTACTTCTGCAACCTCAAAAAAATTATCCTTACCTCCTGCTATTGTTGTCAATGGCCAACCTTCAAATGCTGTTATTCCCCCTAATGTTGCTAATATTGGAACTGGACCATCCTTTTCAAACCAATTGATTGTTGTAGCTCCACGTAAAACCGTGTTTATATCTAGGCTTCACCCTAACACCTCTACTGATAATATCCGTGACTATGTGAAGTCTAAAATAAACGATTTATCCGATAGTGATTTAAAAATATTTAAATTCAATTCATCTCAACCTCGGGATATTGCCTCATTTAAAATAATAGTTCCTAATAAGTTTTTAAATTCTGTAGTAAACAATTCGTTTTGGTATCTTGGTAAAAGAGTTTGTTTTCAGGGAACGTCCATACATTCCTAGAACTGTGAATATTCCACCTGCTTCAAAAAACTAAATATAGTCTTACCGATTCTATATCAAAATGTTAGAGGCCTTAATACTAAATTGAGAAATGTGTTTCTTAAAAGTTTCCATAGTGATTATAAAGTAATTATTTTTACCGAGACATGGCTTAAACCTGATGTACTCGATACAGAGGTATTTTCCGATAATTATCAAGTTTTTAGAAAAGATAGAACATCTAAAAAAGGGGGAGGAGTTCTTATTGCAGTTCAGTTTCAGTTGATCAGGATATTGAATTTGTCTCTGCAAAATTGACATTTCTTGGTAACACTATATTCTTAACTTGTTCTTACATCCCACCCAATTCAGGAGTTGAAATATATTTAAATCACGCTAATTTTATTGCAGAAGTGTCTTCGTTACTTAATAACAATTCTTCTTTAATTTGCATGGGAGATTTCAACCTTCCAGGTGTCGCTTGGATCCCGGGTGATAATATATTGGATTATGTTCCCTCGACTTATCCAATTGTATTCGATGCTTTTTGGGATAAAATTTTTGAACTCTGCCTTTACCAGGTAAATGACGTATTGAATGTCAAAGAGAAACTATTAGATTTAGTATTTTCGTCTACGTTAAATATCTCAATCTTTAGAGGCTCTCCATATGTAATTCCTGAAGACATTTATCATCCTACACTCACTGTGAATTTAGAATTGAAAAATAATTCTTCTAATACTACGCCCGCAAAAACTTCATTTATCAGACGTAACTTTGCTAAAACTAATATTGTGCAACTACGTTCTTCATTGTTTTCAACTATTTGGGATCTAAGTGGTGACATCGATTTGTGTGTATCAAGATTTTACGAACTACTAAATACTTTTCTAAATAA